CATCGGAAAATGGCAGTTAATCAAAATCTAAAAAGTTAATCGAAAGTGCGGCTGTACGTTTTCGTTCACGCCTTCAGACCATCTAGCCGACGCTGTCACAAATCAGTTCTATTCACTTATCTAGTCAGAATCCACCAAGCTTTCGATAATTCGCAGTTTACTATATGCACAACAATAAGAGCTCGATTCTAAAATGCTCATTTTCAGAGTCTTCATCCAGTTACAAAGGAGATCGCATGCGAACTGGGAGCTCTACAGTGTCAAATCGAATACGGCGACTTCCCTGAAAACAAACCAAAGTTTTACATCGAGTAAGTTCGCCTTTTGCTAGTCGAATTGGCTCGAATGGGACCCGTTGTCAGTCTCTGACTTGGCAGATTCTCTTCTCTTAGGCACCATCTTAGAAGCGTCAGCTGGCTGCGGCAGATGTGAAAGCGTCGAGGGCGACTATCTCACTCGTTGATCGGGATTATTTAGGGTTTGCGGGGGTGATGGGTAGAGAGCTGTAAGATGAAAGAAGCCGTCTAAATAAATCATGTCAACTGGTGATGTCAACGGACCATGCTTGGGGCATTTATTATTCGAGAAAGATTTTATCTTTCCATAATGTGACCTGAATTCGGTTCTTCAACGCCAGTTTAAAAGTCGTAGAAAGACCTGAAAATTTTCACGGAAATCACAGGCTTACAGAGCGATTGTTATCCAGAATGATCCAGCAGCTTGCTTATGCTCAAGGAGGGGCTGTTTCATCATGGGCTTGGCCTAGGTGTAATGGCGGTGCTAATATGACGCCCACTTTCCATCTCCCAACCTAGCTACCTGGGCACGCCACACACTAGGAATGCTCAGCGTAAGTAGGAGGGGGTCGTAACCATTGGGGATCGTAGTTAACTCTTAAGTTTTTCCAGTTGCTGTTTCTTTTCCGTTTGACGCGCGTAATGTTCTCCTCGCCCCTTGCTAGTCAAGAGGGCCACTGCAACTACTTTTTTATTAATGTTCCTTAAGCCGTTCGGTGGTGTCTTTTCAACCGCAGAACGTGAAGCTACCTATGCTCATGCAAATTTCTCCAAAATTTTGGCTTTTTGAGGGGGGCTAGCCTGTGTGGGGTTTTGGCGTCACTCGGTTTTGACCGATTCCGATTTCGTTCCTTCCTCAAGCGTGACTGCCCTTCCAAAGCCACCCCTAGAACATGGAGGAGGTTGCTCCTATGTAGTCCGGCATTCTACCCTGATCGACATATGTTCCCTACATGTAACTGGAGGCCTAGATGAGGGGGTTGTTCCCCGTATGGTTTGGGTTTTTTCTTATCTTACTCACTCATGAACGCGATTGCCCGTGAACTGGCGCCATCTGTGGATTGTCCCGTTTTTGAGTAACTCTTCTCACTTGGCCCTCAAATAATCGTTATATAAAAATATTTTCAAGCAACGTGAGGTTTCGGACTTTTGGTGGACCACCTTCAAGGATTGGCTAACATCATACATCAATAGAAATTTTTCCTTTGCTCGATTCTCCCCCAATTTTTCGGCATATTTGTCGAATGTGGCGATTGTTGAGTATGCAGCTCTTAGCCCCATTCAGCAGTTGTATGGTGTGGGCGATTTTCCCCTTAGAGCGCAAGCTCTCATTATTGTTTCGTATCACGTCGTGGCACAATTGAGTGCCATCATGCGTTGAGAGGCCGGATGCACTCGGCACCAGTGGCACCCCAGCAGTAGCGACAGCTCTCCTCGTCGTTCTCTCTTTCGAAGAATCGCTTCGTAAAAAATCCTCTTGAGGGCACTGAAATTCTGAAGCAAAGATGCGAAGAAAGGCATTTGGATGAAATAAAGCGCTGAGTACATGGCTCTATTTTGGGGAGCGAACCAAAGAAATCTGCAGACTCTCAGGAACGAGGGGCACCGCTGAAATAGGAAAAACTTCCTTATGGGATGATTTGTCACCTGCCCTCTTTCCTCCAACAGCGCCCAAATCACCAATCACGGATCACCCCTTCAGGGTTAATTGGAAGGATAAAGGGTGAAAGCTTTTGACATTGACCAATGCCTCCCTTGGGATGCTTGGCGCATTCCACATCCATTCCAAGCCTAGTGGCGTTCGATATTGCCATTGTCGCGCCTATACATCAGCCGAGGTTCAAGGCAATTTTTTATTCTGTCAGGCGAGGGTGGTACAAGGGCGCAATATCTCGCAAAGTCATACCCTTGTAAAAGATTTGATTCCAAGAGGCTTCTGAGGGCACTGTTACTGGAAAGCGTCGCGTAGTTCGCTGTAAGAAACCAGTGTAATAACTTCGGCAAGTCAATGGCTGTTCTCATTGGCTTTACCATTCTAAGCCTTCTTCGGGTTATTTTTCGTTTTATCACAGCAAAAAGAACGCACTGCTTAGTTGTGAAAACCCTAAAAACTACCTCTTCCTGCTACAACTCAATTACGGGATTTTGGGATGTGGTACGGTATCATACGCTGTCATAACTACGACTTTTGAGCTTGTCATCCTGAATACGGAAAAGAACTTGAAAGTTTACAGGAAAAAGTCGTTTTGCGCGCGGTCGTTTCGGTTTTTGGGGGTGGCAATAATGGTACCCCCCCTCAGCGAAACTGCCCAGGCCACCTTGTGAAAGACTAGTAGATTTCAGTTACCAAGGATGACATTACTTGTAATATCTCGGCATTTTTCATAAAGTGCCTAACAAAGTCACAACCAGTGAGTCGTTCATTGACACGAACTACCAAGGGAACTATGCGAAAGTGCCAAATATGCACCCTTCAAGCTGAATTAGGCCGTCAGAGTCTCATTGCTTCGTACACTGATATCGAAGAATATTATGAGTGTAGCAACTTCACGAAAACCTCACTTCCTACCAAAAGGTACGCAGGAAAGGAGGCTTTTAGCCGTAAACTGGCAATCATACGTTGTGCAGGTAGACGACCAATGAAGGATAGTCGCCTGATCAAAAAATGGATGTAAGAGCCTCAGGTTCAAAAATCGGTTGCTAGTTTTCTGAACAAGTTCCAGACTTTCATTGCGCCTAGTTGAGCATCAGAGTTCACTCTAGACTGCACAATGTGGGGCACGTTTCAGTGAGCCAGACCCTTTTGTTTTCAGATTCGTGCCTTTTTAAACATTCAGCGCTTAGCTCGACTTCCTTTCCCACTTCGAGACCATTGTGAGCAGCAAACTGCGAATCTATTGAACTCACTTCTGAGTATTCTCCTCGTGTACTTTTGAATTTGGAGCTTAATCCTTCTGATGTCGAGCTCCCGCTGGCCTTTTCTTCTCATTTGGTTGGTTCCCGTCACAAGACTGAATGAGAGTGGAATTTATATTTGAGCAACCACTCCAACCCACGACAAATATGACTAGAAATTGGGAAAGGGCCGCCAGTTCGGCGACGGGGGTGGGGCATTCTGCACTTTTGCTACTTCCCATCGACGTGTCGACCCAACTAGAGAGCCTTTTCTTGGGTTGACAGGTTTCACATGTGCCGAGTGACTTGTTCCACCTTCACAGGAGATGCACAGGTTTCATCAGGTAAAGTACGGAAACCGCGAACCCGCAATTGGCAGGTGCAATGCAGCAGCAAGATGCCCCCCCCCGCCCGTCGCTGCGCCATTTGAACATAATAATTTCTAGCCTATCATCTTCAAAGGAGGAAATGTTCTCGGCCATTTGTTCATTCACGAAGCCAGCACGACTTCATTGGAGCGAAAGCAGTGTAGTGACAAATGACATCGCTTGTCACATACACAGTGGGGGGTCAAATTCCATATCGACAGGGCTCGCCCGTAGGCCAATTCAAGGCTGCATCCTCTGAGGTGCATATTTTGGTGCTAGGACTCGCTTGGAGCAAAGCGCTACACCCTTGCAGCTGTCTGCTACAATCGTTTGGCATAGACCAAGTAGCATGTTCATTGCCTATCATTGCTCTTGATTCGAATTGGAGATGAAATGCATGGCATATTTCCAAAAATGAGTCCCATCGATGACTTCTTTCGTTCGGCTTGATTACCCTTGTTTTTTAATGCGATACTTATTGTGGATGTTTATTTTCTTCTATTGCCGCTATTGATTTTCCGAAACAAAGTCCTTTGGGTTTTAGGGGACGTGACTTCTTACCGAAAGAATATGCGAAAAGTAAGGAAAACGAGAAGAAGATTGTTTCGGTGAGTCTAGACTTTGTGCTAGTTTCTTCTTTGCACTGTTCGCTTTCAGCGGAGCCACAATCTGAAACGGAATGAGGCTCCATTTGGCTTCAAACTTGTCCCTCCACGCAGTTTGGCCCTTGAACATGGGGGTATCAGTTCTGTAGGAAAGAATGTGTCTTGCTCTCTTGTCAGTCTATAGGCGGGGTTGAAACTGCCCAAGTCAACAAGTCTTTAGAAACTTTTCCAGAAATCGGGGTCCTAATTGCTACCTAGTGACGACCTTAGAACTATCTGGTCAGATTTTATACGTGTAGCTTTCCGTCAACGATTGTCAGCGGGGATTGGGTTTGGTTGCTGGTGGGGGGGGGGGCGAGCGAAGAGAGAGAGGCAGGCAAATTCTGGTTTCACAAATGGTTTTTTGTTTTTTAATTGGTTGATAATTTTTCCGTTTCACCTGTGCTATAAGAAGATGCCATTTCTCTCTAGTATTTCCCACAGGGCACGGCCTCATGGGGACCCCAACAAGGGGAGGGCGGTTTCATGCGTTTGAGCAAATAATTTTTGTGTTTTTTCTTGGTTTCCACGGACGCATAAAGAGTCGGCGGTCGTATTTGCGGCGGTCGTTGTTGGAGACGGGTGGGGGGGGGAGCTGTACTAGCCTTCTGGCTTCAAGAGATGGTTGTTCAGTTTTGTGGCTTTGCCGGTCCTTGTTGCATAATGCGAGCCAGGTATACCCACCCCTGGCCCCGACAGGCTAAGCGTTTCGGAAAATATCGTCCGAAAAAAAAGTAGGGGAAGTTGGAGGAATCTAGGAAAGGTGGAGTAGGGATGGGCACGGCGAGCGGTCGCTCGCCATTAATTCACCTCCACAGATGCGGGGGCCGTTACGGACTTGACAAAATCTCCAACTAATGCTGTGCACTGGTGGCCCAGTTATGCTACTGGTAATCCATGGTTGATCCAAGCTGGTGTATCTACGCCTCCTCACTGAATCTGAGGGAATACTTGCGGTTGGGGTTGTATCGAAGCAGAAAATATGGACGGGGTCGTGTTTGGCAAAAATTTCCGACAACACGACTATTTGCCTCGTTTTCCGTTCCAAATCAATGCCCAGGCGCAACTCTTTTCTAGGAAAGCTCCGCGAAGGACAAAACTCGTTCAGAATCCCCAAGTTTGTGGAAAAATAGGCGAAGTTTGGTCCGAGGAGGGGAGTAACGTTTTGCACCTCCGCTACTCCCCTTTGTCGTGTTCATTGCACTACAAGAGTTGGCAGATGAAGTGTACAAGATTTGACAGCTGATCTCCGCAAACTTTAAATGGTACTTGATGGTTCGCCACGACAATGGAAAGTAGCGCGAGTGCGCAAAATGTCCCCTCTCATAAAAAGTGCCTCCCGAAAACGGGTATAGTTGACATTCAATATTGGTGGCTTGATGTTCCCTCACTTGGAACAGTTCTAAGTGCTTCATTCTTCAAGATCTTAAGACGATCATTCTGCCAGCCAAGAGGACCTGACGTAACTTGCCACGCACTTAAAATTCCCCTAATCGTATTGACCTTGTCCTCGGGCCTCAGAAGAAAGAGTGATGTTTTTAAATGTACTCTAACTTTAATTGATTTTCACCCTTCACTTTAAATAATTACGCACCCATGTTGATATGGCTCTATTCAGAACTACAAGCAATTATCCGGCACATCGGATTTGGACGCAAAAAGCAAGTACGTGCATTTGTGCCGAGGATTGAAAACCTATGGTGTGACGTTCTTCTTGGTGAAAGGTTCGCTCCCGTGCTGTGTTATTCTTTTATTTGTTCTTATTATTCTTTCTTCTTTAATAGAAAGTATTGAAAATGTTGACTGCCTGAATTCATTGACTGTTTAAAAAATTGATTGAAAATAGTCTCATTATTATTTGAGGGGTTATGGCTGATGTTCGCGTCTGATTCATCTCTGGATCAAGTTCGTGGTTACCTATTTTATTCCAGCCAAAGTATAGATTTACTTCGAATTTCTCAATATCTCCCACAAATTTCTTACAGAAATGGGGGCATTTTGCATTATTTCTGCCTCCCCGTGATCGATTCTATATATAGAGAACTTTCGTGGAGAGGGTAGGAGGTGACAGCGGTTTCATGGTGGTGGCTCGACGGCGCTTGCTCCAGCGTTTATAAGAGGTTTGCAGGGTGTCTTTCAAAGCTTGAGATTGTAAACGAAACTAGTGCAATCAGCGAATGTGCAAAACACCCCCCTCCCGCCCTTCCCCGCCACCCCATCGCTGATGAGTTTTAGGCGAACGACGGCAGGCAGAGCTCGAACCTACGCTTCACCTTTGGCTGGCTTGTGTGCTAACCATTGGACCACTAAGACCGTCGTCCACCTCTCACCATCGTCATTCTCAGCTCAATGGCTTTAATGCCATATCTCTGCGATACTCACCAGAGCACATCATTTGTTGGCAATTTTGTTCGAGTTCGTACGACCCCTTCTCCCAACAACGAGCAAATACGACCCCTCTTGCACCGTCCCTGAACCAAGAAACATCAACCATGAAAAAAATTTCTTGAACCAAATACGCCCCTCCCTCCCTCCAGCGACCGAATGTGACCTCTTCTTGGGGATTTCTCAACGGTGGTGTGCCCTGGTACTCACACGCTTGAAGTGATAATTTGGTTGGTTTTGTGTCACACAGGAACTCGACCCGCTGCTATCTGGCTCTTCTGCGGGGGACATCCTCAGACCACCTATGTTACCCCTATGTTTGAAGCTTTGGAGCCCTAGCACTAGAGCTGAACGAGTATTTTATGGCCAACAGTCAGAAGAATTTCCGGCACAGTTCGGTTACCCGGGGGCATTTTGCACCTTCTCTGCTTCCCATTGTCGTGTCGAGCCTTCAAGTACAGATTTGTGAAACCTTGTGAAGCCACCAAATGATACACTGTTTGTAAGAACTGCTTATTAGCTCTTGAAAAAGAATACCTGTCAAGTTTTGTGAAACAAAGGACAGACAATGGGAAGCATCGAAAGTGGAAAATGTCCCCCCCCCGTTGTCAAACTGCGCGGAATATTCAATGAAACTGGTGCATTTAAAAAGATCTTGTAATGTCATGCTAACGGCGTGAGTGGACTGCAATGTGTCTTAATGCCGCGGCTTGACCTCTCTTATCGAATGCTTTCGTCCCTCCTTGGCCATACAAAGGGTGGCAGACGCTGGATTGTGTTGGGCTATGGGCTGCTGTCGCCTGCTGACGGCTTCCCTTGACATCAGCGGCGGCTGCGTTAGCCACAAATTTCACCATTTACTCTACGCAAACTAGATTTGGCGGGCCGACAGCGAGGTCTCTGATTAGCCTGCCAATTCAATGAGGTTCGAAATAGTGGGCGTGACGGCGTCCGCCCTAACGCCCTTTGGCCCGCATCATGGCCACCCTCAGCCACCCATCCGTTCCCCATCGTCCATCCGTCGTCCACCTACTGATGCCATCGCTGCCGTCACCGACCTCCGCCCTCTCTTTGCCACTCTCCCTCTCTAACGCCCTCGGCGCTTTTGCCAAATCTCGTTCTCGTTGCCGCACTTTGGTGACTCTCAGCTTTATTCTACATGCTGCCCACTAATGAGCAAACCGTTCGTGCTGTTGTTACTGTTAGCTTATCCAGTAAAGCTGGTGGTTGACCACTGGCTCTGCAATATGTTCGCCCCACGAATTTCGCTGAATTCGCTGATTCAACTCGAAACTGCATTGGACATTCCCGGCGCGCATCGATATCGTCAAAGAGTGTGCGCCCGTCGATGGAGGGATTTCTCGAAGGGCTCGAAACTTCTCAGCAATATTTTTCAGCTCCATTGTCTAACTATGGCCTCCAAGCCTATTCCTCTTGCAAACATTCCAGAGCGATTTCCTTTTTATAAGATTTTACCATTTAAGAAAAACTTGTCGGCAAGAACAAACTCGTGCCACGACTACTCGGAGTGAACAAAGAATGTGTGATGCGTGTGGACGAAAAGACGAAAGACGTGCTGAAAGAGTGGCCATTGGAACAAGTCCGCCGATGGAACACCTCGCCAAGAACGTTCACATTGGTAAGTAGAAGGTTTGAGACCGAAACTATATTAATTATGTACTAATTTTCATTTTTATTGACCAATTTCTATACATCAAAGCATGTTGTTTATTTTGTAACAGTGTAACTTTAGCTAGTAGAGGGCAATATTGGCCGCTGTTAGGCTTCGGAGGGGCATTTTGCATTTTCTCTAGCTCCTTTTGCTGATTCATGTTAACTAACAGGCTATACTTTGTTGAAACCTGTGAATTACTGTAAAGCTGGGAATGGCATAATTGGGCTAGCCTGGTTGTAAGGGATTCACAGGTTTTTACAAGGTGGCTTGTACAAGCGCCGCTGAGTGTATTATGTGGTGCCCACCAC